CGCACCTTGCCTCCTTCAAGGCCGGTCTCAAGACCCTTCTCTTCAATCGTGCCTTCGGTCGCTCTCCCACCTCTTTGCCTCCCCTCAGTCCTACACCACCCCTCCCCCATGTTCAGGCCCCGACACCTGACTGTTCAGCGCTTTGGGACGTCCTCCCGACGTGAAAGGCGCTCTATAAGTGTAATTTTGTTCTTCTTGTTGTTGCTGCTGCGCGTGTGTGTTGCGGGATCTGTGCCCATGTTTGGGGTTGGGGCTGCACTTGTGTGAGACGGGTTATGTGTGCATATGTGTGAGGGTGGCTGCGCGCGTGTGTGTGGGGGGCTGCACGTGTGTGTGGGGGGGGCTGCACATGTTTGTATAGGGCACTGCGTTTGTGTGGGGGGCTGTGCGTGTATGGGGGGTGGGGGCTACATGTCTCTGTGAGGGGAGCTGCGTGTGTGTGGGGGCCTGCGAGTGTGTTTGGGGAACTATGCGTGTTTGTGCGGGAAGCTGCAAGCGTGAGTGTCTGCGCCCGTGTGTGGCAGGGGTTGCGCTTGTTGGGCGGGGTCTGCGCTTGTATGTGTGGGAGTGCTGCACGCGTGTCTGTGTGCGGGGCTGTGCATGTGTGAGGGGGGCTGCACGTTTGTGGGGGGCTGCGTGCGTAGGGGGTGGGCTGAGCGTGTGCGGGGGTGTCTGCGCATGTGTGGGGCACTGCGCGTGTCTGGGCAGGGGCTTCGCGTCTTTGGAGGGGGCTGCGTATCCATCTGTGTGGGCGGGCTGCGCATCTGTGGGCGGGAGCTGCCTATGTGTAAGGGGTGTGTGGTTTCGTGTTTGTGGGGAGGTGTAGCTGTTTGTGTGTGTGGGGTGGGTCTTGGCTGCATGTGTGTAAATAGCTGCATGTGTGTGGGGATCGATTTGTGGTGGGGTGGCTGTGTGTTTGTGGGGGATTTGGCTGCGTGTGTGTGTGGTTGTTAGCTACGCGTATGTGAGGGGGCTGTTCATGTGTGGGGCTGCTGCGAGTGCGTGAGGGGCTCACGTGTGCGGGGAGGCTGCACATGTATTGGGGGGCTGCGCGTGTGCGGGGTCCTGCCTGCGTGTCTGGGGAATGCGAGTGTGTGTGGGGGAGCTGCTCGTGTTTGTGTGTGGGGCTGCGTATGTGGGGGTTTCCTGCGCTTGTGTGGGGGTGACTGTGTGTGTGTCGGGGCTGTAGCTACGTGTGTGTATGGAGAAGTGTGGCAATGTGGGTGGGTGTAGGGCGTTGGCTGCCTCTGTGTATGGGCGGGTTGGCTGCATGTGTGTGGGGGGCCGGGGTGGCTCTGTGTGGTGGGGTGACTGTGTGAGTGTGGAGGGGATGGCTGCGTGTGTAGGTGGGGTGGCTGCATGTGGGTAGGAGGGGCTGCACATGTGTGTGGGTGGGACTGCGCGTGTGTGTGGATGGCTGCATGCATGTGTGTGGGCTGGGACTGCGTGTGCGTGTAGTGGACTGTGTTTGTGTGTGGGTGGCCTGTGCGTATGTGTGGGGGGATGCTATGCACGTGTGTAGGGGCCACTGCGCGTGTGTGTTGGGCTCCAGATGTGTTTGGGCATCTGCACGTGTTTGTGCAGGGAGCTGCGCTTGTGTGTGTAGGGCTGCGCATTTGTGTGGGAGGGCTGTGCATGTGTCGGGGGGGCTGCGCCTGTGTGTGGGTGGCTGCGTGCGTGTGGGTGGGTGGGAGGGGTCTGCGGGTGTGTGGTGGGGGTTGTACAAGTGTTTGTGGGGTTGGCTACACGTGTGTGAGGGGGGGGACGCTCACGTTGGGGGGTGCTGCGCGTATGTGGGGCAGGGGCTGCGCTCGTGTGGTGCAGGTTCTGCGCACATATATGTGTGGGTGCTGCACACGTATGTGTGGGGGGGGCTGTGTGTGTGGGAGTGACTGTTGTGTGTGTGGGGGGTGGGCTAAGCATGTGTCTGGGTGGGGCTACGCATGTGTGGTGATATTTGCTCATGTGGGGGAGTCTGCGCGCGTGTGGTGGAGGCTGCGTATGTATGTGTGGGGGGGCTTCGCGTGTATGGAGGGGGCTGCATTTGTGTGTATTGGTGCTGCGAGTATGTGTGGGGGGGGCTGCACATGTATGTTGGGGGGCTGTGCATGTGGCAGGGTTCTGCACCCGTGTTTGGGGCTGGGGCTGCACTCATGTGGGGCGGGGGCTGCGTGTGTGTGTGGGGAGCCTGCGCCTGTGTGAGGCTGGCTACGTGTGTGGGAGTGTGTGTAGTTGCATTTGTGTGGAGAGGTGTAGCTGTGTGTGTGTGTGTCTGTGTGGGTGGTGGGGGTGGGGGTTGGCTGCGCGAGTGTGGGGGGGACTGCTGTGGCTGAGTGTGTATGGGGGCTGTGGTTGTGTGTATGTGGGGAGGTGTAGCTGCATGGCAGTGGGATCACTTTGAGTGTGGAGGGGGTGGTTGCGTGTGTGTGGGAGTCTGACTGTGTGTGTGTGGGGCGGTGGATGCACATGTGTGGGGTGCTGCGCGTGTGTGTGGGTGGCTGTGCATGTGTGGGGGGGCGCTATGCGTGTGAGGGGGGCTGCACGTGTCTGGGCGGGGGGCTGCGTGTATGTGGGGATGGCTGCACGAGTGTGTATGTGGGGGGCTTCGCGTCTATGGAGAGGGCTGCTCGTGTGTGAGGGTGCTGCGCATGTGTGGGCATGGACTGCGTGTGTGTGGGTGGGAGTTGCATATGTGTGTGTGGGCTACGCATGTGTCTGGGGGGGCTATGCGTGTGTGGGTGGGGACCTGCACATATGTGGGGGAGCTACGCGTGTGCGGGGGTGTCTGCGCGTGTGAGAGGATCTGTGCATGTGTGGGCGGTTGCTGCGCGTGTGTGTAGGAAGCATGCGCATGTGTGGGGGTGGCTACATGTGTGGGTGTGTGGGTGTGGCTGCGTCTATGTGTGTGGGGGCTGTGGCTGCATGCGTGTGGGGAAGTGTAGCTGCGTTTGTTTGGGAAGGTGTAGCTGCATATGTGTGTTTGGGTAGGTGTGGCTGTGTACGTGTGTGGGGGGTGGCTGCATTAGTGTGGGGGCGGGTGTCTGTGTAGTGGGGTGACTGTGTTTGTGGAGGGGATGGTTGCGTGTGTGGGGGGCATGGCTTTGCATGTGTGAGGGGGCTGCTCATGTGAGGGGGGGTGCTTCCCGTCTGTGGGGGCTGCACGTGTGTGAGGGGCTGCAAGTGTATTAGTGGTCTGCGCGTGTGAGTGCGGGGGATGCAAGTGTGTGTGGGTGGGTCCTGCGCTAGTGTGGGGTTGGCTTCGTGTGGGCGGGGGTGCTGTGGTTGGGTGCATATGGGGGCCAGGGTGGCTCTGTGTGGTAGGGAGACTGTGAGTGTGGAGGCGGTGGCTGTGTGTGTGTGTGTGTGTGCTGGGGTGGCTACGCGTATGTGCGGGAAGCTGCACATGTTTGTGTGGGTGGCTGTGCGAATGTGTGTGCGGGACTGCATGTGGGTGTAGGGGGCTGCACGTGTGTGGGAGGGGGACTGCATTTATGTGTGGGGGGGCTGTGTATATATGTGGGGGGTGCTGCACGAGTGCGTGGGGGTGCACTGTGCATGTGTGTGGGGCTGTGTATGTGAGGGCGTGGACTGCGAATGTGTGCGTGGGGGCTGCATGTGTGTGTGTGGGGGGACTGCGCATGTGTGGGGGAGTTGCGTGTGTGTGGGGTGTCTGGGTGTGTGGGGGGGTCTGCGCGTGTGTGGGCAGTGGCTGCGTGAGTGTATGGGAAGCATACCCATGTGTGGGGGAGGCTACGTGTATGCGTTTGTGTGTGGGGGGGCTTTGGCTGCGTCCGTATGGGGAAGTGTAGCTGCGTTTGTGTGGGGAGGTGTAGCTCTCTGTGTGTGTGGAGGTGTGGCTGTGTATGTGGGGGTGGGTGGGGTTGGTTGCCTGTGTGGGGGTGGGGGCGCGGGTGTCTCTGTGTAGTGGGGTGACTGTGTGTTTGTGGAGGGGATGGCTGTGTGTGTGGGGGGGGGGTTTGGCTGTGTGTGTGTGGGGTGGTGGCTGCGCATGTGTGAGTGGGGCTGCTCATGTGTGGGGGCTGCACGTGTGTGAAGGGCTACACGTGTATTAGGGGCCTAAGCTTGTGTGTGAGGAGGACTGGGTTTGTGTGGGGGAGGGGCTGTGCGTATATGTGGGGGGTGCTGCATATATGTGGGGGGTGCTGCGTGTGTGTGTGGGGCTGCACATGTGTTTGGGGGCCTGTGTGTGTTTGTGCGGGGGGCTGTGCTTGTGTGTCTAGAGCTATGCGTTTATGTGGGGGGCGTGTGGGGGCTCTGTGTGTGAGGGATGTGGATGTCAGTACTGGCTGCTCCTTGGTGGGGCTTTCCGATCATGTTCTGCCTGTGAAGATGCCAGCTCTCCTGTGGATATGTGTGAGCCACCTGTCTCCATCACCAGCCACACTGTGACTTTATTGCCCCGATAGGAAAGGTGATCCTCAAAAACATGTTATCTTTGAAGGATACAACCATCAGATGAACCTATTCCATTTCAGTGAATCTCAACAGGTTGATCTCCTTCCCATTAGGTAGATTCCCAATCGACTGAACTCCTTCAATTATCTACATTTCTCAATACACTAAATTTCCACTGAATTAAACCTTCCCATTATACAAATAACAGTGTATAACGAGGGGTATAACATTGCCCCTTTAATGATATAGATTTCCTTATGGATTGGATGCACATTGTGTGGAATCCCTCTGGACTGAAGCTTGGAGATGTTTCCATGTTAAAGTTACTGTAGCGAATGCAATGATTATTATGGTAAGTGTCAATCAACACTGCACAATTACAAAAATTTCAGGTGTCATTGCCTTCAGCTCCAGCGAATGGCTTCCTTTCTTCCTTCCCCACATTCCTATCAGTATTTATAAGACCAGTTCTGCTTTCACTGCTCTCAATAGCGGCTGGGAGAGGAGAACAGCAGCTCCTGCAATGCAGTGCCAGTGCTGACTGAGCTCCAGCTCAGCACCCGGAGCCAGCATTCACATGGGATGAGAAGCCAAGGGTAGGAAGGAGCCCTCATTGATCGGGGCAGTCACTGACTACATACAGCTTCCTGGTAGGTCTCCGATCTTGAGAGAAAAATTGCCTAGATTATGGGCTGGATTGGGAGCTGGGAGTGGAGCGAGGCTATTGATCAGACAACAGAAAGAAATCAGGTTCATATTCTGTTGTTTGATCAAATACAGAGATATCAGCAGAGTACGGGTTGTGGGTTCTGGGATGCTGGAGAGGACTCAGGTCCGAGGGGAAATTATTGCTGGGGAGAGGTTCCTGTGGGCTACTAGTTCCATGAAATGATGATAATAATCCTTGCATTTGATGAAGTGCCTTATCACATTGTTGAGGCATTTCAGCACGCTTCACAGGATATACTCTAAAGTGAATTAACTGTATATTTTGTGGTCAAAAGCATAGCAGTTTTCCACAAACAATCATGGATTGAGTGACCAAATTATTATGATTATATAGGTGTGACTGACCCCTTGTTAGTGTCTATGACCTCAGCAGAGTCATATTCACCCTGACAGTGATCACGTTAATAACTGGATATGAAACAGACACAGAATGTGGGACAGTCACACAGAGCTTCAGACAGATGCACCAGGTCAGACAGACTCACAGGGTCAGACTGTCAGACAGACAGTCACACAAAGCATGAGGACAGACCGCCGCTGCTGTAGGGGACGTGGCCTCAATTTACCCAAACTCATGTGGTTGCTTTGTATTGTAAAGGATGTCAATGGGCAGAGGATTCGAACGCTTTGCCAGATTCTATTTCTGCACCAGCTCTGTGTGGTGTGAACCATGGAGCAGGGTGTCTGTGCAGTCTCAGCCACTGACAGGCACAGATAGAGAGCCACGGTGCTGCCATCATAGGAATGAGTTCAGCTACGTTTCCTTTGAGCACTTCAGCCTGTGTTAGAATTAATTTTGCGTCTTGCAATGAGATGGATTATTTTCAGATGTGAAATTCAATTTGTCCAAGGAGTAATTTTATATTGAAATGCAGGAGAGAAATAAAAAGATTTGTTCAGTGTTGAAGATAAGCTTTTGTCTCCAGTGCCTCCTGGACTCTGAATTACAGCTCATGTTTACACAGCGCGCTTCACGGAGGGTAGCATCTCGAAACATGGCACAGTGGCATGGATGTACATGGAACGAGAGAGAAGGGGGAGGGAAGGTGATGATCGGCTCAGGGAAAGAGGTAGGTTTTGAGGTGGGATTTAAAGATAGAGAGACGGGGGATTGAGACAGGGAATTCCAAAGGTTATAGTGGTGTAGTGACTGAAGCCACGGTCACCGATGGGGGTGGGGGGTGACACACGTTATGTGTTATCTGAGTAAAGGGGGGCAGAGACATGGGTTACGAGCAGGTCAGAGGGGTGGGGAGGTGCTGGGGTGTGAAAGGATTTGTAGTTGAAGGTGAGGAACTTAAATCGATCCGTTCAGAGACCCAATGGAGCTTGTTGAGGATTATTAATAATAATAATCCTTGCATTTAAAATAGTGCCTTATCACATCATGAGCACTTCACAGAATTTATTGTAAATTAGATTGACTGTATATTTTGTGGGCGAAACACGGCAGCCAATTGTGCACAGCAGTGTCCCACAACACTGGGACACTGCTGTGCACAATGTCTTGCAATGAGATGGATTATTTTCAGATGTGAAATTCAATTTGTCCAAGGAGTAATTTTATATTGAAATGCAGGAGAGAAATAAAAAGATTTGTTCAGTGTTGAAGATAAGCTTTTGTCTCCAGTGCCTCCTGGACTCTGAATTACAGCTCATGTTTACACAGCGCGCTTCACGCAGGGTAGCATCTCGAAACATGGCACAGTGGCATGGATGTACATGGAACGAGAGAGAAGGGGGAGGGAAGGTGATGATCGGCTCAGGGAAAGAGGTAGGTTTTGAGGTGGGATTTAAAGATAGAGAGACGGGGGATTGAGACAGGGAATTCCAAAGGTTATAGTGGTGTAGTGACTGAAGCCACGGTCACCGATGGGGGTGGGGGGTGACACACGTTATGTGTTATCTGAGTAAAGGGGGGCAGAGACATGGGGTACGAGCAGGTCAGAGGGGTGGGGAGGTGCTGGGGTGTGAAAGGATTTGTAGTTGAAGGTGAGGAACTTAAATCGATCCGTTCAGAGACCCAATGGAGCTTGTTGAGGATTATTAATAATAATCCTTGCATTTAAAATAGTGCCTTATCACATCATGAGCACTTCACAGAATTTATTGTAAATTAGATTGACTGTATATTTTGTGGGCGAAACACGGCAGCCAATTGTGCACAGCAGTGTCCCACAAACATTCGTGGATTGAGTGACCAATTTTTTTGGAAGGATTATTACACCATTAAGAGCCAATCAACTAACAACCTGATTCCTACTACTGCAAGGTAAACACGCATATGAAATAAGGAAACTTGCCTAAGGTTTCTCTCCAGCCAGAAATCAAACACGGTTCCTCTCACTTGTGAGACAAAGTTGTTAGCAACTATGCTGTAGGACTCCTCTATGGGATTTGGGTGATTGCCTGATGAAGATGGGGAATTTTTGATCAGCCAGACCTTGTGGATGATGAAACTAGGGAGAGCGGTGAGGAAAGCATTTGTGAAATCAAAGTGCATGGTGACAAAGGCGTGGATAAGTGTTTCAGCAGCTTTGATGGTGAGATAGGTTCGGCGATGGGCGGGTTGATGGCTGTGGAGGAAAGAGATCCAGGTCAGGGACTGGATGTGGAGTAGGAAGGAAAACTGTGTTTCCAGATGCAGAAGTTCTGTACAGGTTGGATGATTTGAGAGAGGTCTGGCAGGTTAAGGAGTTTGGCCGAGGATGCAAGGAGACATTGATACAAGCCAGGGAGGATGGCTTTCATCTTGTCCATATTTAGTTGCAGGAGGTTGATGCTCATCCACCTCTTGATGTCTGATAAGCAGGTGGACAGGACACAGTAATAGGGAAATCCATCAGGAGAAACTCAAGGAGATGGTTTCAGAAATCCACCGCTCGTATTCTCACTGCATATCCCCATTACACCAGAACTCACCAATCTCTACTGGTTCCGTCACAGAACAGATTAATTTCAAGATTCTCTGATTTGTCTACGAATCCCTTCCCTAACTCTCCAACCTGCTTTCTCCCACTCTACTACCAGCTGCCTTCGCTCGGCTGGCACTGACCTCTTGCTTGACCCTCATTCCCTCTGGCCCATCAGTGGCCGCACTTTCAGTCACTATTCCCAGAAGCTTTGGAAGTCTCCTTCCCCCTCCATCCTTTCTTTTAGTTCAAGAATCAAGATCCTCCTCTTTGACCGTGCTCAAGGTCAACTCCTCCCTTCCATACTCCCGCCCCAGCTTAGTGTCACGCTCTGCTCTAACACTGTGAAGTGCTCCTGCATAAAGGGAGTCAAAAAAATGTAAGTTATTGTTGTTGTTGAGATTAAGGTGCTTGAAGAAGGAGAAGAATCCAGAGGAGTAAGGGGAAAGACTTAGTGAAAACCTGGCGATAAGAGTCATGCAACTGTTGGGTTGTGAAGTATGGTGAAGCGTGTAACCGGGTGGCTTCAGTGAGGGAGAGGACAATGAAGGCCGGCCACCGCCCCCCACCCACACCCCATCTCTGGCTAAATAGTTTCAATACAAATCAGGCCAGAGATCAGGATCAGATCAAGGCAATGCAAACCCATGTACACCCCACCCCCCCTCCCCAGCCTCCGAGTTGTGTGACACCTCCCAGCCTGAGAGCAGAGCCGTGCGGAAAGAGATTTCTCATGTATTACTGGCTGCTGCTACATGACACCAGTGCTATCAATGTGACATTCCTGGTGATGTCATTCACCCTGATTCCAACACTACTGGGATCCATATGTCTGGACCAGTGTGAGAGGGTGTTTAAGTGTGGATGTGTCTCAGTGTGAGAATGCGTCAGTGTGAGCGTGTGTGTCTGCACGAGTGCGAGTGGGTGTCTAGGCCAGTGTGAGTATCAGTGTGAGTGTGTGTCTCACTGCAAGCATGTTTCTCAGTGTGAGAGTGCGAGCGCGCGTCTCGGTGCGAGAGCGCGTCTTGGGCCAGTGCAAGCGCAGATCTGGGCCGGTGTGAGCACGGGTCTGGACCAGTGCAAGCAAGGTTCTCATTGCAAGCCCACATCTCAGTACGAGGGCAAGTCTCAATGCAAGCGTGCATCTCATTGTGAGCATGTGTGAGAATGTGTTTCAGTCAGAGGTGTCTCATTGTAAACGTGTATCTTCATATGGGCATGTCTCAGTGTGAGCTTGCGTTTCAGTGTGAGCGTATCTGGTTGAGTGTGTGTCTAGGCCAGTGTGAGTATGTCTCAGTGTGACTGCGTGACTTAGTGTGAGGTGTCTCTCAGTGTGATCGTATGTCTGGGCCAGTGTGAGCACGTGTCTCGGTACCAGCCTGGGCTGGTGTGATCGTGGTCTGGGCTCCCATCACTCCCACCCTCACCCAACTCCACTGGCTCCCCATTCCTCAGAGGATCGAATTCAAGATCTTCATCCTCACTTTCAAGGCCATCCATGGCCTTGCCCCTTGCTACCTCTCTGACCTGCTGACTCCCTACCAATCTGCCCGCTCTCTCCGTTCAGCGGGCTCCAGCCTGCTCCATGTCTCCCGCCCAACCCGCCCTACCATAGGTGGCCGGGCTTTCAGCCTCTCTGCCCCCACACTCTGGAACTCCATCCCACAGTCCCTTCGCCTCGCTTCCTCCCTTGCCTCCTTCAAGGCCGGTCTCAAGACCCTCCTCTTTGATCGTGCCTTTAGTCGCCCTCCCACCTCTCTGCCTTCCTTCAGCCCTCCGCCCCACCCCCATGCTTGGGTCCTGACCCCTGACTGTCCAGCACTTTGGGACGTCCTCCCGACGTGAAAGGCGCTCTATAAATGTAATTTTTTTGTTGTTGTTGTGGATCTGGGCCGGTGCAAGTGCAGGTCTAGGCCGGTGCAAGCGCAGGTCTCAGTGTGTGCATTTTTGTCTCAGTGTGTGCGCGTTTCAGTGTGTGGCTGTGTCTCGGTGTGTGTGCATGTCTCGGT